TGCTCTTCCGATCTCCCCAAAACCCCAAAACCCCTTGAAGTAAGCAACGAATGCAGATTTTGAATATTAAAAATTGTGTGATTAATAATAAACTTTATCATTATTGCTAGGTGGCTGGTTGTGATCTTTTGACTTGGTAAGTGTGGAAAATTTGAATAGCATCCATTACAGTAGTTATTTTCTCAGCATCTTGATTGCTTAAATCAAATCCAAAGTGCTCCTCCATTGCAAGTACAAGTTCAACATTATCAAGAGAGTCAAAGCCAAGTTCTTCAAAAGTAGCAGTTCTTGATAATTTGGCATGATTACATTTTGCAGCACTCTTTAATACTTCAAATACCTTGCCTTCTACTAGTTCAATAACTTCACTGTCACTAAGGGGAGCGGTGGAGAATCTTTGATAGTTGAGATAAGTAAGTCTGTTTGATGCTTGTACCATCAATCTTTATTAATTAATTCTAAGGTGACTAAGAGTTTTGAAGTTTCTAGCGAACATTCTTACATTTGATAAGATCAAGGAATTCATTTTATGATGTTAATTTAATAATTATTAATATTTTATTTAAAGCAAAATTATATTTAACTAATGGTCTAAACTACTTTGATTTTTTATTTAATAACCTTATTAATTATTTTTATCAAACAAGATTTCCTTGTTGAGTCATGTTTATTGTTTCTTAGCTGGACAATTTCAATCGATCTATTTCAGAGATGATTGGAAAACCTGAAGGTACTTTATTAGTAGAGATTTTTCTAATCCTTTTATAGATCAAATTAGATTGATATTGTGTTTGTTGATTGCTTATCCATTAGGATGGATTATGAATCTTGCACTTCGTGGCAAAACTGCGAGGCATACCTTCGCAACAGTGACAGGGATCATCTTGCAAGCCTATATGTTTAGAGATGAGATCCTCCATACATTCTTTATGTCTCTGATAACTTATTTACTTATGAATGTTTTCCCAAGATAAACTCAGCATAAAGTAGTATTCGCTTTTACGTTAGCTTATCTAAGTGCATCTCACATTTATCGTATGTATGTGAATTTTGGAGGATGGGATCTTGATATTACTACTTACACAATGATTTTGACAGCTAAGCTATCCGCTCTATCGTTCTGTTACAAAGATGGTGGTTTGAAAGACTAGGAATTGATTCCAGATTAAATAGAAAGAAAGGTTATAAGCATGCCTACTCCATTTGAGTATTTAAGCTATGTATTTTTCTGCGGTGGTTGTATTGTTGGCCCATTCTTTGAGTACTCCGACTATATTAACTTTATTGAACAGAAAGGGATATATCAAAAGGTGCCAAATTCTATTTTATAAAGTTTGATAAGACTCGGACAAGGATTTTGTAAGTATTATATTAAGGCGAATCTTTGTAATTAATTCACATTCATTAGTATGTCTGCTATTCAACTTGATTGTTGGCTAATACTTCTGGGTGCAATACTGTGGCTCAGAAGAATTTACTACATATAGTTTCCCTTATAAGGTAATTTTCCATGAATTTAGTAACTCTTGATATATAGGTGATGTATTATTTCATAGCGATGACATCATAAAGATTCCAATACTACACAGCTTGGTGTATTACCGATGGAGCAATTATAGGAAGTGGTTTAGCATATAATGGTTCCGATGAAAAGACAGGTGAACAAAAATTTGATAGAATCTATAGTATTGATATCTCTGAGGTAGAGTTCGGATTTTCACCAAACAGGATGATTTAAAGCTGGAATCACATGATTCACATCTGGTTGAAGCATTACGTTTACAACAGAACTCTAGTTACCGGTTAAAAACCAGGTCTTTTCAACAGCATGGCTGTATTCATTGTATCTGCATTCTGGCATGGTTTCTATCCATTCTACTATGTCATGTTTTTCTTTTGTGCTATATTCTCCGAATTAGCCAAAGATGTTTACAGAAGCAGAATCTTTTTCAAGGTCATCCCAGAACCATTCTATTCACTCTTAGCAAAGTAAGAATTTCAATATTGCTTAAATATTTTAGCTTCTCAACTTTACTTACTCTAAACTATCTTGGTACCAGCTTTGGTCTCCTAACTTTCGAAAGAGGTTATAGATTCTCAAGAGCAATGTATCACTATGTTTTTATCTACATTGTTCTGCTTTTTATGGTATTTAGATTTGGAGGAATTCCGAGAAAAGCAGCAAAGTTAGAAGCAAAACTAAAGGAAAAAAAAGAAGCTAAAAAAGAATAGTGATTTATTTACAATAATACAACCTTCTCGTTTAAAGAATGTATTTGATCGTACTTAATCTTAATTAACTTAAGGCAATTTATATAAGTTTTAGTTATTCAATATATCAATAAATTTAAATTAGTCATTCAAATAGTATCACATTTCTATCATTAATATTCTGATGAATTTTTACTCAATCAGTTCTAGAAATTCTTTCTATATTCAAAGTCTATACGTGCTTTTTACCTTTCAAAATCATTCATATATGCCTGATTTTGGTGTTTTATTGCTGGCTCATAAAATTTCTCTTAGTTATTAGGTTACCCACTAGAATTATTATTTTGAGGATTTGATCCAAGTTTATTCTATTATTGCATCAGAATCTCTCTTTATTTTTGTAGGTAATGATCCTAAATATAATCTTAATTTTGTTGATGATGCTTTCTATGTCGTTCTTATTGTATTTTGTTTATTTATTCTTTCAGTTATTTATTCTCAGCTATTAGATTCTTAATGTCTCTCTAGAACTCAGAAAATTTACTACATGTTATCTACTAAGCATCTGTCATCTCTTTCAAGAGCATAGCAGTTCTCGATACTTCTCTTTCCAGGTCTTCTTTTTCTTAACATAATTTGTCAATAATAGATTACTAATCATCTTTTAAAAGTAAAAGATCCTTGACATTCAATTCTTATCTTCTTATTAATTCATTATGCTGTTAAAGTTAAGTTTTCAGTTCTCTGTAGTCCTAAGCCAATAGGTTTTTTTCATGTAAAAGTCTCTCCATTGATTTTTCCAAGCCATCTTTCAATTAAGCCGAAGTATTTTTCTCCTTATGGAGAGCTAATTAGGTATCTTCAAGCTGTTTTTAAATTGAACTAAAATCTTATTGCCCGTTCTTAAGTTGGTTTTGCACTAATCTTTCTAATTCAATAAACTCCTCTTTAAACTTTTCTTTTTCCTTCAAAGTTATATCAATTCGACTCTAATTATTAAAATCACTGCGTTTCAATCTATCAATCTCATCTTTTAACAAACCCTCTTTTTATTTATGCTCATCTCTCATCTATTGGATAAGAACTTCATTATTGCGTTTTAAATTCTCAAGTCTTTCACAATCTATCTCCCAACCTTGTAATCTTTATTGAAACCTTTCAATCTCTTAGGTGAATTTAGTACTTTCGCCATATCTTATATCCTTCTCCTCCTTTAGCTAATTTCTTAAATCTACAATGACACTTTCGTTTTCTTGAAATTTCAGCTTTATCTATTCTTTTACTCTTTAAAATTCATCTTCTTTTAATCTTGATTGCTCCTCGAATTTTTCAACTAACTCTTAGTACTTGATATTTTCCTACTCAAATCCTATATAATAAAAAAACACTAAAATACCTTAGAACTGATCAAGTTAATATATCAATTCATTTTTTTCTTGCTCTAATAACAGTATCTTCTGTTTCTAAATTTCATTCTAGTAAACAATGTAAAGGAATTCAATAAAGTACTCTTTATTTTTCACTTTTATAAAGCTGCTCATAAGTTTTTGCTTTTTCTTAATGATTTTTTATTATTGATTCATTATGATTGACAATTGACCTTTACCTTTAAGAATTAGGCTTTGAATTTTTATCCATCGACTGTTCTGGACTATTTTTTAGAGATCAATGAAACAAGGAAATTTTACCTTAAATTTATTGTTGACATTGATTTAAATTTGAAAATATTATTAACTCCTAAATTTACAAATATAATCACCAGTGGGGTTTTGGGGTTTTGGGGTTTTGGGGTTTTGGGG